GGAGGGGGTCCTGGATGATGCGGTGGGGGGCAGGGTCCCTTTCGATTGTCCACGGGGATATCCATTATTTTCAAGCATGCGTGGACGGAGGGTGTCACATCGCACTCCCACTCCCCGTCGACAGTGTGCTCCAGGCCATCGTCGTTCGGCGAGAGTACTCGTCGCACTTTCATCGAAAGGTCGCCGTGGCATCACTCCCAGCCACCGTCCATTGCGCTCAATAAATCACGAGCACGGGCCACTCATCCCCAAAAGCATTTCAAGCGCGCATGGATTGCGAGCACTGCAGTGGACTGCTTTCTCGCCGCGCTCTTGTGTGCCTTTCGCGCGTTGTTGTGTCGTCGCTTGCTCCCGCCGCGCAACTTGGTTAACGGGCACTGCCGTCGTCGACCACGTACCCATCTGCGACGTGCGCCGTCTACCATCTCTGTCGTCCGCCAATCGTCTTGCCGTCATTCGTCGTCGTCGCCCTGTTGTCACTTGCCGTCGCTCGTCGTCGTCGCCCTTGCCTTCGTTCGTCGTGCCGCCATTCGTCGTCGTCGCCCTTGCAGTCATTCATCGTCGCCCTGTCCGTCATTCGCCAACTTGTAATCCATCTGTGTAATCATAGCCGCTTGTTCCATTCTCTGTCTTCCATTCTCGCCGCCCTGCAATCATCCAGCCGCCGCACGGTGTACTCGTCCACAAGCTCTGCGAACCACCGACCGCGATCGAAGGCGCTTTTGTCGGATCCGCCATGTCTTCCCGCGGAGCTGGACGGGGGAAGGCTGCCTTGAAGCAGATCGTGGAAGGCGCGGCCCCCGCGAAAAAGGGACGGCATCAAGCGAAGAGGCAGAGGAAGGTCGTCCAAGCCGTGCCCGCTGGCAATGCGCGAGACGTTGTGGAGGAGGTTGTGGTGGAGGAAGAGATAACGAATGACGACGACGACTTTGAAGACGACGACGATGAACCACTGCAGAGAAAGGCGAGGGTCAGTTCCGCGGGGGGGGTTAGAATAAACGAGGGGGGGGAAGGGACACCGACCGCACGGCGCGGCGGTGGTGTTGCCGCGGCCAACCAACCAGTCTTTGTCGACGTGGCACGTGACTTGGCAAGGAGGGACGTTGGTGGCCGCGCGAAGGAAGGGGCCGCCTCGCATGAGACTGCGCAACGCGTGCTTGCGCCATTGAATCGCCCTCGAACCCCGACTGCAGACGTGGCGGGGAGTTCCCAAGCAGCGGTTGAAGGTGGGACGTTGCGATCTCCCGCGGTGGCGGCGCACGGCGGCGCTGTGGCGGTCCTAGGAGAGCCGGTTGAAGTCCCGAAGGGAGGAGATGGCGCAGCAGCTGGGGAAGACGACGAGGCTCTGGTGCACAGGTTGCGAGGGCAACGAGCGGCGACACATGCGATGGATGCCGCCGCCAAACTTTGAGAGGATGACAACAGATTTTGGAACGATACGCAGGGGAGCGCCATAGTGAGGATAATCCAAGAAGCGCGCGCGTATCTCGTGGCCGTGGCGCGGGGAGTGCAGCCTCCGGCTATTCGACGGAGCATCTCCCTTCCACACAACTCCATCCCCCAACACAAAATCGAGGACGAGTCGGAGCTGGACGCGGCGAAAGAGAGGGCGTTGAAAGTGCAGATAATCTCCCTCAGGGCGATCCACAGTTGGGTCTTCAAGTCGGAGAGTAGGCAAAGGGGGTATCACTTGGCATACCAATACGCGTTGAATCACGCTGCCACGGACATCGCTAGAGCAATGTGGTCAGCAGAGGACTGGCGCAGTTTGGTGAGCCCAATGTTGTTCTGCACCACATTGGACGTAGTTTGTGGTTCGTGGGCGTGAACATAGTGGACAGGCACGAGGACGATGAGTGCGCGGCTTACCAGGAAGCTTGTGTCCAGCGTCTGGTGCGGGATTTTACAAGCGCAGTTGGCACGACAGAAGCTATGGACGGCGGTCGAGTGTCGTACGAGTGTCTGAAGGGGATGGCAGATGCGATGAGCTATTTGCTCGCTGCCACGATGTGGATTATGCTAATGGTGTGGAACGATCCGAGATCGCATTACGACGCTTGGGTTTTCGTTCAACTGATGGCGAAGACGACGCTGCTGGCGTCCATGAACCGGCAGTTCGACGCCCGCCGACACATCACGCAATCCGCGCAGGTCATGACGGACAAGTTGGGGAGACCGCCTCCGACCTTCGCCCCCCCACCTGCGTACATCCCCGATTGGGCGTCTAAGTGCGGGGTCACTTTCTCGCACGACGCCACGTTGGCCTCCCCGATGGAGGCGAAACGGTTGGATTGGTTGGGGACAGGTCCCCCCGAGGACGACGACGACGACGCCGAAGGCGATGACAAAGGCGAGGGGGGGTGACGCGTAGACGACGGTGATGGCGAAGGCGAGGAGGGGATGATGCGCAGGCCCTGTTGAGATGGCATGTACAAGAGGATGGGGGGAGGGGGGGGTTTACGGGGGGTTGCTTCGGGGGGCGGGACGCGGGAGGGCTCACGGGGGAGAAAGGGTTTGTGGCATCGTTTATGACTGTGTTCGGGGCAGGATGCCATGAGCGTGCGGGGTTTGTTTGAGTACCGTGGGAGAGATCGTTGTACAAGTGTTGTTTTCTGGTCGTTGACGACTGTGTTCGGGGCAGGACGCCATGTGGAAGTCTTATTGGCAACTTTTTTTTTTTTTTCGCTGGATTTTGGCATGCCACTGTTCAGAGGTGGCATGCGTAGTAGAAGGTGTGCATTGGTAGCGCAACGAAATTTCTTAATGGGTGATGTTCTTTTTTATCTTCGCAACGATGCGTGGTCTTTTTTTTTCATTCCATCCATCACTTCTTTTTTTTTTGTTTTGAAAACGCATGCACGGCGGGTACAGTTTCATCTCTCATTGTCTGTTGAATGTTCAAGGCAACAAAGTTATGCGTCATGGTTCGTGCGTATCGAACGTCCAATTCATCCTTCCGCCTCGTTTCGTAATTAAAAAAAAAAACAAAAAACAAAATTTAAAATACACAAAAATAAAACAAAAATACAAAATAAAAAAATACAACACACCAGATTGGAGCGAGAGCGGTAAACGAACAGGAAACGCAAAGGTCGATGAAGGCAAAGCGGTGAGCAATCTTTGAAACGAAGGACCAAAACAACTGTGTTGCAAACCCATGCAATAGCAGCTCCCTTCAACATAACAACAAGAGAAATGCGGAATGAACTGTTTTTTGCATACACCGTTGTGAGCGAAGAAAACTCAAATCTCAAAAAGGGATTCCCCTTAGAATGCGAAAGCATTTCCAGGTACCAGCAAAGTTGCATTGTTTCCAATCAAACCCCTTACCCCACCCTCCCCCCGCCCTCCTCTCGCCCGTCGTGCCCCGTCATCACAAGTATTGCACGTTGCACGCATGGCACGTGCAACCCCGCCACGCGCACCCGTCTAACGGCAATATCCGCAACCACCAACTACACTACCTGAGCGAACAATAAAGCTAACCTGTCCGTAGTCCCTGTCCATGGACGAGACAAACAAACAAAAAAAAAAAAAAAAAAAAAAAAAAAAAAACAAGCGACAGCGTACATAAGCCAGTCGTCGCCACTAAACACTAGACAACTAACCGCACCGACCACGCGAGACACGCCTGCCACATCTCGCTCGAACGACGCTACCACGGCCGGACAGCCATCGTCGATCGCCTCTTGCTGTGGGACGGCCACCTTCCCTTCCTCCCGCCACCGGATCTCCTCCGTGCTCCCCCGCTTCTCACAGCTTCGTCCCTCAGACTCGTTCCATTCATGGCCGGGTCTCCAACTGCGAACACGGCCAACCTCACTGCGCAATCATCCGCTCCGCCAACGCGTCCCTCAATATCAGCGCATCCCCCGTCGAAGACTCCNCTTCGTCCCTCAGACTCGTTCCATTCATGGCGGGGTCTCCAACTGCGAACACGGCCAACCTCACTGCGCAATCATCCGCTCCGCCAACGCGTCCCTCAATATCAGCGCATCCCCCGTCGAAGACTCCATGCACGCTGGCCTCAATGGCTGATGCATCCCCAGATCCACTCTACGACGCACACCGTCTGGACCCACCTCCCACAACAGATTGTCGTCGATGAGTATGTTGTGGAGGATGCAGACGGTGACGAATTGTTGCGGCAAGCTGTCTATGTTGCACTTGTGGGTGCGGAGGAACAACCTCCACATCCCCTTCAGTCTGCCAAACGCCCTCTCCACTGCTCCCCTTGCCGTCTTCTGTTTGTTGTCGAAGCGTGCCTCCGTCGGGTGTTGTACGAGACTGCCGTAAGGGACGACTACCCATTCCGACTACGGATAACCGTTGTCGCCGAGCAAGTAGCCATTAGTCCGCACACCGAAAGGCAGCATCACATGCGGCCCAGTGAAAAGTTGTCCTGATTCCGCGCGCACCCACAAACTCGACAGGTTCAGCATCCTCGACAGGTTCAGCATCCTCATGTCATGCACACTCCCTGGATAACCGACGAAGACGTCCAGCACACGCAAGTTCATGTCGACCACCACTTGCGCCTGCACGGAGAATCGACGTCTCCTGTCACAATAGTCCTCACCGTTGGTGTTCGCGGGTTTGTCGATGTAGATATGTGTGCAGTCGATGCACCCATGGCAGTTTGGAAACCCCTGATCAGCGAAGGCGCGCAACACGACCGGCTTCTGCAAACCTGTGGGCCATGGTATCTTGTCGGGGTAAGCAGTCAGCAACGTCGCCGTGACGTCACGCACCGTCGTGATGCCGGAAGCCCTCCCGATGCCGAAGCTACACGTCCCGTTGTCGTACGTCTCCCCCGTGGCCCCCCTGTACAGTGCATAGGCAATGATGTGGTCTGCCTGCAAAGGCACCCTGTAGAACGTCACACGGCGTTGAAGGAGTGGGGAAAGAGTCTACGCGATCTCGCAGAAAACATGAGGCGACATTCGAAGTTTCTCCTTGAAGTAATCATCCGTTGCGTCATCACATTGCCGCAGATCCTCCCACGTGCCGCCCGTTCGCCGCTTCACCCACCACCGTGGAGTCGCCCTTGGAATCCCCCCGCACCCCATCGCATAGCAGACCTCCAGCACCGCGTCGGAAATGGCAGCCACATCCAAGCACTGCCTAGTCGTCGGAAGCACCAACAGCTTGCGCCGTGCACGAACAACCGCTTTGAAGTTTGCGTCATTGCCTGCCATCTGGCAGCGGAAGAGGACGGCATTAACCACCGCAGCAATAGCCGTCCTCTCCGCCGTCGTCAAACCGCCGCGCCCTGCCCCGCTGTCAACGTCCATCCCAGACGCCGCTTCCGATGACATCATGTCAATCAAACCACTGGACTCCACAAACACCGCCACGCGGAAGATCACAGCGTCAGTGGCTGTGCAATATCTTGGGAGCCACGCACTGACGATGGTCGTTTGCCTTTCCCAACGCTCACGTATCGATGTCGTCTCCCCTTGCCGCCAACGTGTACACGACCGTGCTCATCGACGACAACCGCAGGGGACAATCGTCACTTATGCGAACGCCACGAACGCCAGCCGCAGACGCAACCAGGCGTGAAACGTACGTCCCCCACGCGCCGCCGATCGCAAAGCCTGATTTCAAATTTCAAATTTTGAACAGGAGCGCTGCGCGCCATTTCCAAGGGCCCCGGTTTTGTTTTTTTCTCGTTTCCCCCCCTCCTTCGAATTCGCAACGGCCAACAAAGGTGGACCACCGCCGTCCTCACGGACACAACTCGGTGGACCACCGTCAGCCCCAACCCCGCGTCCGCTTGTGCATACATAAATCGGGGCCGCGGGAGCCCCGAGGAATCGTCCTCGGGGGTCGACTCCGAGGATGAGTGGAACGAAGGCGACAATTTCCTCGGGCGACTCCGAGGAATCGTCCTCGGGGCCCGAGGACGCCCCGAGGAGTGTCGAACGAGCCCCTATATCTTTGCCTTCCGGGCTCCCCTTGTCCCATGGAGCTGCCAGTCTTCCCAATCCTGAAATGGAGCACCCCTATCTCAGTTAGGCAGCCTTATTCTGCAGCCCCCCATTGTACCAGTAGGCTATCCTCAGTTCATCGTATTATTTTATACTGCCAGATCCCAAAAACCCATGGTTGGTCTGCGGCCCCATCTACGCCTTGTACTGTAGGCCAGGAATATTAAAAGATAGCTTATCTGTGCAACTCTGCACCAGTCTCCCTCAAGCCTAGTGGACTATCCACAGTTCATCTTATTGTTTTATACTGCCAGGTCCCAAAAACCCATGGTCGGTCTGCGTCCCCATCTACGCCTTGTACTGTAGGCCAGGAATATTAAGAGATAGCTTATCTGTGCAACTCTGCAGCAGTCTCCCGCAAGCCCCAAAAAACCCTCAGAACCCAATACCAGTGTCCCTCCGTGTGGCCGTAGTGTTTCTGCCAAAGTTATCACGCCGCCGTTGACGTCTTTCTTGTTGCCCTCTGCTTCCGTTGCCAGACGATCCAGCAGCCCCTCCTGAATCATGCCTAAGTTGGCAAGGAAGTGGCAGGATAGGATATGTTGTGGGATATGTTGTGGGGGGCAGGGGCCGCAGGCCCAGCAGGCCGAGCGAGGCCGGAGGGGGAGGGGGAGGCGGGCGGGGCGATGGGGTAGGCGACACCGGGGTAGGGAGCAGCACAAAGTTGGGTTGTAGCGGGCGTCACTGGGGCAGGGAGCAGCACAAAGTTGGGTTGCAGATACGGGACCCGGAAATCTGCGAAGGGTTTCCTTTGCCATTGGGGTTCCGTTGTCCTCCACGGTTTCCATTTGATGTCCAGTTCGCTATCCAATTCTGAGAACAGTTTGGCCGGGTCTTGCCAAGTCTCTAGATACGAGTCTCGGATTGTCTCCCTAGTCGGTGGGTCTTTTTCCTCTGAGAGATCACGCTTCATCACCTTCCATGCTTCCTGGGTTTTGGACCTAATCAGGTCCTCCACTGCTTGTTGCGCCTGCATGAGACCGAATTGGTGGTCCTTTTTCTCAAATGAACATCTGGCTCTCCAGGCCTGCATTAGAAGGTGCAGCCTCGTGTACGAAAAGAGGTTGGTTGCAAATAGTGACCAATCAGCCAGCAGGTGGCGATTTTTCCCAAGCAGGAGGAGGCCGATATCCCAGGGAATGTGGTGACCAGCAAGAGAGTGGAAGGCCGCATCCCACCATTGCCATAGCTGGGTGACCATCGAGCACGCCAGGAGACAGTGTTCAAGGGTTGCCCTGGCAGGCGTGTGGGCACAGTATGCGCATATGGGGGAGAGCTTGCCCTGCTGTTCCAGGGTAGTCCTAGATACCAACCAGTCGGGGGTGGGGAGGCAGCGGTGCAGGATCTGCCACTGCAACGCTCTGTGGTTTGTGGGCATGATCCTTGCATATGTGGACCAGTCAAAAGTTTGTGTCGCACAGGAAACGAAAACGAAACGAGTGCATCTGCCCATGAAAGATGGCAAAATACCCTCGTTACTATTTATAGGAAACCGATGAACCTGGCCATTTTCTGGGGGAAGCCACATTCGTTTCGTTTTTCGTTTCGTGTGCCGTGCAGCAACACCCTTTCTTTCTTTTCTTTTTTTTTTTTGGGAACGCCCTTTCTTTCTTCTTCTTCTTCTTCTTCTTCTTCTTCTTCTTCCTTTTTTTTTTTTTTTTTTTTTTTTTTCAAGGATGACACATGCATAAATCGAGATATGGTCCGAACTTAGCTCATGTAGACAGGGCCACTTGTCTCGGGCGATCGCCCCAACACATCACCTACTAAAGTCATGGAAACAAGCAATCCCTTAGATTCTTCCAGAGCCAGAAGTTCCAATTCCAACCGACGGGATCGCAAACAATCAAAATCTCCTCGGCCAACTTTGTGTTTCTTCCGAAGCATCTATTTCTCTATTTTTGTGTGTCAGAGGGCCTCGCTGCACTACTCACCAAACAAGGTTTTTGGTGAGGTTGGTGTGGCCGCACCAAGTCTATTTTGTCAGAAAGGAGTTAGATTTGGTAAGGGATTCCTCAGATGGTGCGCATGCACCAAACACGCTTGAACTGTCCTTCGGAAGCATCTGTTAAAATTGGGGCGATACAGAGAACATTACCATGGCCTCCGTGCAAGGATGAAAGGCATGAATCGAGAAATCGCCCAGTTTTTTTTGTTGTTTTTTCATTCCCCCCTCCCCCGGTACAAAAGGCTCCATTCTATTCGTGGGGAGCAGCACGTGTAGGGAAACGGGCCCAACGTCCCTAAGTGATCACAATTGGGCCCCGGCCGGCAGTCCACCCGGGAAGAAAACATCCAGAATATTCAGAGAACTGAGAGAAGTCAACTGGGATTGAGAGCACAGCTAGTAGTAGTGGTCACCTGCTGAAATGCAAAAGGAGGATATCGTGAGGTAGAGAGAAAGGCTGTTGGAGTCCTTCTCAGCATCAGGCCCTCTCAGCACAAAACCGCTGTCTAATGGGACTTTCTGAACGAGGCCTGATGGAGCGAAGATCCCACAGTAGATCTGAGTAGAGTAAACTACCTGATTCGGAAATAGTCGCCCATTGGGTTTCCCCGTATGCCTATATAGGTAGGAGTAGTGGTAGGTAGGTAGTGTGAGGAAAAATTGAGAGAAGAGTATAGTTTTTGAAAAAGAAAAAGAAAAGAAAAAGGCAACTCTATCCATTTTTTGAATGTTTTTCCAAAATGTAACTCTAGCCAAATCTGTAGAAGTAGAGTTGTTCCGAATTTTGGTCCAGTCGGCCATAATGTCTAGGCGCTATGCATGCTTAGTATATTGGGCAATCAGAGCGGGGAGCGGGGTTCTTGGATTGAGCAAATCTTTCTATGTTTCCTAGCTATCCATATCTGCCAGAAGGCCCTAGCTTGAAGAACTGAGAAACCCTTCCGGCCTGCTGTTTTTGTAGGCCTGGTTCCATTCTACCTGTGAAAACCATGCTTTGGCTGCAGAAGTCTGCTACATTGTGGGCTTGGGCCCACCATTTATCAAGTAGCTCCCAGCATCCCCTGGCAATGACACATTCCCACCAAAGATGCAACCAGTCTTCTAGACTTTGGTGGGGCCAAATGCCGCAAACAACACTCATGTTCATTTCTTCTGAGCACCAAAGGGTGGTAATGTAAATGCATCCATTGTAAGCCTCCTGTTTTAGTTTCTATTGAAGAGAGGAGAGTGTGGATAAAAAGTAAAAGCCACTTAGTTGAAACAGGGAGGAGGAGGTTAAGGGTGGAAGACTTTTGCTGCCAGCTGAGACAGAGCCCTGCTTGTAGGGTTTCGGCCTCTGAGTGGTAAACCCCCGTAGCCCGCTTTAGCAGAGTACTGAGAGATGGGGACCTTGGTTGAGTTCCCGGTCCCATGGGATACCAACCAGCCGTCCTTGCGCACATCAGTCTTCCAGTTCCCGATAGGGAGAGCCTGCATGACCACCTGGAAGGAGGAAGAGCTGTTCGATGATTTCTTCTGTGCGACCTTGACTTCTTCCCATCCTGCGAGTGAGATACATGTTGGATCTTGATCTGAGTCTGAGGTCGAACTTTGAATCCCTCAGAGACCATTCCGAAGCCTCCGGAGAGCGATCTTCATTAAGCTTGTCTACTCTGAAGAAGATGTCCGCTGCAGTTGGGCATTTGAACCATTGCTGCTCCTTGAAGGTGTCCCCAGCCTCAGATAGTGCGGTCACCCATTTGGCTGGGATGGCTTGTGTCAACGTTGACAAGTGTGCCTGTGTATGGTGTGGACCTGTGAGTGTCGATCTCAGATCCTTCCCTGTTTTCCATGCCTGGCGATCATCGTCCCAGATGCGCTTGATTTGCCAAATACCTCGTTGCATCCAGCTGAGGCCACAGTTGCCTGCTGATTTCACCACTGAGAACGGAAGTCCGGTCTTGTTCCGGATCGCAGGGTTTTCAAAGAGACAGGTGTTGAAGATCTCTACTTTGGAGACTGGGTCCTCAAGGGGTTGGGGAAGCATCTTCCCCCATTCCTTGAGAGCACTGGTCCAAGTCCTACCAGCAGGTTTGGATGCGAAAGGGCGCATCAGTATGGCGTTCCACACAGCCTCAGGGTCAGTAAAGTTTCATTTATTTGCTTAGTATTGAAAAAGGTTATCCACGGTCGCTGTTCTTGTGCAGTGAACGCCCTGACCGGCCACTTGGCCAGCAAGGATCTGTTTTGGGTTACGGGGTCCAGGATCCCGGGGCCCCCTGATTTTCTTTTCTCCGTAATCTTGCTCCAGCTCGCTTTGTCTAGTGCCGAATTAGCTTCCGAGTCCCCTTTCCGGATGTTGTGAGAGTGTAACTTTTTTATGTTTAAGGCAGACTCGTGTGAGAGTGTACGTATAGACAGGATGTACCATATTTTAGAGGTAATAAAGAAGTTAATTATCATTGCTCTGCCAAACAGGGAGAGGAAGTGGGTCTTGGACCAGATCGAGCAAGCATCCCTAATCCAGTTCTCTATTATTGAAGACTGCGTGTCTGAAGGGTCCCCGAAGGAAATCTGGATGCCGAGATAACGCTCCGAATCTGTTTTCTGTTTGACCGGGATGTTCAGGTCCAGGGCAAGTGCTTGCCCCTCGGGAGTGAGGGTGACCAATTTTGCCAGCTAACCCGGGTTTCGGACGTGGTGTCATATATAATTAGGCATTTTTCACGAGCTGAGAGGGAGGACACCAAGTTCTCGGAAATGGCAGTGAAATCAGCTGCTAAGGCTGACACCTTAATCGAACAGGTAGGAGATATTTGAAGTCCTATATAGTCGGGGCAATTGTGTACCATGTTCAATAAGACTTTTAGTTGGATGACAAACAGGGAGGGGGCTAAAGGACATCCCTGTCGAAGGCATCAGGTGATTTTGAAGGGTGCCCATTTACGAGCACCTTTCCAGATGAAGAGCTATATAATGATCTAACCAGTTTTCTGAAGTTAGGTCTTACTCCAACCCGTTCAAGGGTAGCCTGTACAAAATCCCAATTCACTCGATCATATGCCTTTTGGAAGTCTATGAGTATAACTGCCTTGTTGAGTTTATGTTGATTGATCCAGTCGATGGAATGTGAGATTGCCATTACATTGTCTAAGACTTGTCTGTCGGGGATAAAACCGGATTGGTTGGGATGAACTAAGGGGTTTTAGTCGTGGAGCGAGGATTTTAGCAAGAATCTTCCCATGTACACTGAGAAGGGATATTGGGCAGTAGTTTCTGATATCTGATTTATCCCCCTTCTTATAGAGGAGGGTGATGATGCCATCACCTGTCCATGGGCCCAAGCAGTGGTCCATGAGAATTGAGTTGAAGACTCTTAGAAGGTCTGGCGCTATTAGAGGCCAGAATCGGAGGTAGAATTCTACTTGGAGGCCATCTGGTCCTGGACATTTCCCTTTGGCCATACTGTTAACGGCTTTAGTGAGTTCAGTCATAAGGATTGGGCCTTCCAACGAGGAGAATTCCAAGTCAGTTAGAATACGTCTTGTGGAGCCCCAGAGGAGCTCTTCGAGGTGGGGGGGTATGATGGGAGAGTCGGGGGTTCTTTCTGAGGTTAATAGTCGTTCATAGAAAGTTTTTACATATTTATAGAGATTGTCCGGGTCCTTGACAGGGGGCAGATTGGGGTTGTCTGGATGAGAGAGGAGCGTGATGAAGAGTGTTATGTTTTAGATGGTAGGTGGCCTTAGAGGTTTGGCTGTTAAGTCTATCTGTATATAGTATTTTATCTACTTGTCTATATTTGGTCCATAAGTTATGGTTTGCCATTTGCAAGTTCCGCCACTCCTGTAACAATCTGTTATTTTTCTTAAGTTTGACAATTTCTGAAAAATAGCAGTTCGTTTCACTTTTTGTCCAAGGTGGCAATCTTCCTTTGGATTTGTATCTCTGTATTTGCGGTTTACCGCCTTGACTCTAGAGATGAGGTTAAGTTGGTTAGATACAAGGGTGAGGCCTTTCTCCAGCCATTCACCTTCGTTGTCGAAAAGTGTAGTATTGCAGCGCCATTCTTCCCGTGTTCTCCATATCCAGTCGATTACCCCGGGGTCCTCTAGGACGTGGAAGCTCACCTTTCCCTTTGGTGGCTTGCAGTCCCAGGTTGATCTCGAGGCAGACGGACGAGTGATCTGAGAGGGGGTTGGTGATACAGTCTGCCTTATGAACTAGTTGTAGAGCGGCGTCATTGGCATGTGCTACTTGAAACGAAGTGCGCGGTGATTGCCAGCGTCCGTGTCGTGTTGTGTGTGGTGTCCGTTGAGTGCGGACACTACAGCCTTGCAGGGGTGGGGCGGATATCACGGCCGGTATGTTTCCGCTTTTAAACACCGTGTCCTGGCTGTAGTGGTTACGATACTTGGCTCTTGAGGCCGAGGTCGCCGGTTCGAGTCCATGCTGGCACAGAGGAGGGCTGAGACCCAGAGGTACTGATCCAATGACAATGGTTAAGAAGAAATCCAATCGCCTCTTGGTGATGAGATTGGAGTTGGAGAGGGTGGAGGAGGTCCACGTATAGCATCCTGTGTAAGGGTGGAGTGAGCGGTAGGGGTCAAAGAGCCCAAGGTCTATTATCAAGTCGTTGAGAGCCACAGACTCCCCGGGCTGGGAGAGAGGGGTGGTGGAGTCTATATCAGGGTTGGGGACTGTGTTCCAATTCCCACCCACTATAAGGAAGTCTGCTGGTGGAATTACGGATTGAAGGTTTGTTATGGCTTCTATCTTTTGTGAATGGTCCAATGGTATATATACATTTTTTTTTTTGGGTTACTTTTTGAAAGGCAGAGAAGGAAAGAAAATCACGCGGCCAGGCAGGCTCGAGGATTTGTGTACCCATTTGTGTCATTTGTGTACCTGCGCTGGCTGTGTGACCCCGTAATATCGCAGAATCTGCTATTTTTGTGAATTTTGCTACCAGTGTAAGTATGCCCTGAGAGCTGCGGCATGGGCGGATCAGGGTAAACCCTGTAAGCTAAGCTGGATTATGCTTCCAGCATTGTTCTCCGCGGGTTATTGGTCTTCGCCACACCACTCTCGAAATGTGAGAAAGACAAAAACGTAGCGGGTGCATGTGGCCATGTTCTAGTGGGAAGTTCATTCTCATTTTGCACATTTCGAGAGTGGTGAGGCGATTCCCATTGTAAGGTTCCCAGCCTCGTTTTCCAAGTAATGAAAGTGGGATTTGAAACAAAAAAAAAAGAAAAGAAAAAAAAGAAAAAAACACATGCTCGAACTCCAAGCCTACAACAACTCCTCGTAGGAGCTTTTCGGCATCCACGAATTTGGGCATCGCCACACCTCTCTAGAATGAACTCCCCACTAGAACATGGCCAGATGCACCCACTACATTTTTGTCTTTTTCACCTTTCGAGAGTGGTGTGGCGAGGCCCTTTGGAGGTTCACACCTGTCCAGACTGCAGCTCTGGACACAGTTTTTGGTTTTTCTTGTGTCTTCAGTGGACTGCTCGGGATACGATACGATTCCATGCAACGACCCTTTGGTGACCTCGTGTGGTGCGGCATGGTATTAGTAGCGAGTTTTTGAGGCCTCGCGGCTTTGGTGAGAACTCACCAACCATTTTCGAGTTTGAGCAATGCGGTGCCAAAGGACTAAAGGGGTTAAAGGGGGGTGCGGTAGTCTGACCCCCTAACACTCTCCCACGGTGCTAATGTTGTTGATGTTGATGTTGCTGCTGTTGTTATTCTTGTTGTTGTTGTTGTTGGCGTCAGACCCTTTTCTCTCCCGCTGTAAGCCAATTGTTGCCACCAGGGTTGTCATGCGGGGATCCCCGGGGCCCGAGCCGGGGTGGGGGTTTTACCCCCGGACCCCCGCAGCGGGGGACCACCGAACCCCGCACCCTGCCATCC